AAATGATACAAATATTTATTTCAAAATGATTTTGGGTTCCTTGGACCGCGCTTAAGTAAAGATATTAACACATGAATAAACACACATACACACATGTGGATGTGTCCTATAATTTAGTAAAATTTATGTTGTACTTATATCAATGGTCGCTATGTGGGTGTTTAATCTATACTTTTCTATCCACACCTACAACACTATAAACGCAATAACACGTCGCGTGCTGGACATAATTTGCTTTACAAAACACTACTAGCTAGCTCAAAAAGCTTTTTACTGTTTAGTGAACTGTACTTAATTAAAATGGTACTGAGCGTACGTTTTATAAAAATTACATGCGCACTAAAGTAAAAATATGCATATATATTTATGTATATTATTATTTAAGTATATTTAGGTAAATCTATACAATTAGACAGTAATTGGGAGGTATTGTAATAATTTTATAAATTATTATTATCATTTCAACTACTTATTATTCATAACCAAAGATTGCCTGCGGCAACGAGAGGCGCATGCATCTGTCGACTTTTACAACATATTCGTGAGGGATCGCCTTATTCTATATTCAGCCGGCTATATATTATACTGCCACATTCTACATGTCTTTTACATTACCAGTGTACTCATACATTTTACCCCAATCGTAATTGGTTTTAGGTTGTTTTATATATTTGGATTATAGTTGTATATTATATGTACGTATTAGTATGAGTATCCAAATATATGTATGTGGGGGGAAAGGGATTGTTAGTGATGGAGACTGAGAATCCCATTGCTAGCAATATACCCAACCAGGTCGACCTCCTCGCGGTTCCCCCTAGAAACTATCATGGTTAATTCCTGACGAATTCATCATGATGGGCTAACTGGCTTGTTTTCATTCTCATCTATCACCCTTTACTGGTGCCCCGTCAGCGTATTCCGTTAGCGCAGGCGGGGTTACAATACCATTTTCACCCATAAAAAAAAGAAATATATGTATGTATGAGTAGTTTTGGGGGGGGGGGGGAAGAGATTGTTAGTAATTATATATGTAATAGATCCTATCAGTCGACTTCCACGCGGTTCCCCCTGAAAATCATCGTGGTTAATTCTAGTGGAATTCGTCACGATGGGCTAACTGACCTGCTTTCATCGTCACCTATGAACCCTCACTGGTGCACCGCCAGCGTATACCGATAGCGCGGGCGGGGTTACCATAGCATTATCACCCATTACAAAAAAAATATATGTATATATTTATATATACACGTGTGTGTGAGAATACTTATATATTATTTAAGTAGTATTTATATTTATTTTCGATGAGTTGATGTAATTTTGATATCATAGTTATAAATTTACTTAATAGTAATACCGCCTACTTTATTTTCTGTGATAATAGCGAGAAACAATAGTTGAAATGCCCACCTACGTAAAAACTTAACCCTTAGTATTGTCTATTGAAACCTCTATTCAGTATATTTTGAGACTTCGTGACTCCTTCAATAAAACAATAACCATACTATTACAACAAGTAACACAGTTCTAGATTATTTTACAATAAAACTTACTCCATTATAGAAAAAAATGTCATGTAATTTTGCTAAAAGGACATCTAGCGTACGGCTCGCCCAGGTTTCCCTTGGGTACGGACTACAATAGAATACTTAGCAAATAGAAAAATATAGGTAATAAAAATAAAACTTAGTGTATAAAATGTTTATATATTATAAACAGTATTTTCGGTTACAAGATTATTACTATTTTTTTTTATGTATTTGATTTGTAGTAATATAATCTTTTTCATTTTCTTTCTGACAACTGACTATTGCAGTAGTAACAAAGGCAATCAAATTACTTGTGCTACTGGCAGAATGAATGGCAGTAACATAATGGACAAAAGAGAATTTGGGTCGCTGCGGGTTTCATGAGTATGGGAATTTTGATTACAATAATTTTTGGTACACTATTAATCTTGCAATTAGGTGCAACTTATTCCCTAAAGGTATATTATAGGAGATAAAAACTTACATTTTACCAATTACATAAATCTTACAATATTAAATATTTATTCATCATCATCATTTCTTAATCAGTGATCAGCTATTAACTGTCGAACGCTGAACATAGGCTTCCTCTATGGGGAGCTTTGCCAGTAGTTGCCATGCTTGCCTGGCAGGTCAACAACCGCATTTAGCCTCTAGTGATGTTTTAAGAGGGACGCTGCAGTATATCCCTTGACCATTAGGTTTCCTTATTCGCTTCTTACAACACCTAAGGGAACGAAAGGGATTGCCTATTCTATGCCGGGACCACATGGAATATAATATTCATTATAAAACACCTGAATCTTGCATTGCACAATATTTATAATATTTTTTGATAGCGTCTTGTTTTTAAGGTTTCGTACTAAAAAGGTACAAAGAAAACCTTAAGGTGCGACATTGTTTCTTAAGGTCTGTCTATCTGTCAAAGCGTTATATCTCAGCAACTACTAATACTACCAATTATTAATTTGGTATAGTTTTACATAATCTTGTCTCACATATTTTGCAATAGAAGTAATAGAAAAAATGTTTTTATTTTCTTTGCTAAGGGGTCCAAAAGGGGTATTCAGAATTTAACGATATTGAAAGAATTTTCTAAATCTGATCAGTAGTACCGGAGATTATATCGAACATAAAAATTCACAAATTTCACCTCTTTATAAAATTAGTAAAGATTCAAATATTTTTATCTACAGAAAACAAAAATCTATTTAGAGACATTTTATGTAAGGAACCCTCGGTGAGCGAACTCAGCTCGCACTTGACCAGTATTTTATATTTAGATGTAAAAGATAGATGTTTCAATCTTTTTGGAATTTTATTTCTTAGGAGGTTGAAATGGTTTATATAGTGTTCGAGTATGGATGACAAATCAAATTTTTTTTTTGGACGGAAGTTAAAGATACTTTTTATAACAAAATGGATTGAAATTTTTCTAATGTTATAGTTTGCACTTTAGCTTCCAATTGGAATACAACTATGTATATACACTACTACTTCACTGAAGTATGATAAGATTGAGGATTCAGTATGAACAAGTTTCATTGTGCGGTTGAATTTCGGGCCGGAACTTATTGTTTTTGTTGTGCAAGCGAGCGTTCTTAGAGCATTCTACAAATTTTTCGCAAATGCTACGATAGAAGTTTGCACTTAGCATTACATTATATACAAGCTGGAGAAGTATGGTAAGAATGGCGTTCGGCTTCTTGATATTTTAAGATCTTTTTTTTGGTTTTATTCTCTTGCCAGTGCAATACTCTTACTACTTATCTTACAAATTCAATGTAACTAAGTGATTTTTGTACATAGGAGATATTTAAGTCAAATTGTCATAAGGATTTTAATAAGACCAATAGAAGCTAAAACAATAAGTTTTAAGAATTTTGTTTATCTATCTGCCTGTGTGTTTACCGGAATTGGCAACACGCAAAAACTATTAAATTAGATGCAGTTTTCACAGTTGAATTTCTGAAGGTCTTATTTAAAATCTGGTCTATGTTTAATCTTGTAGAGATAGTCCATTTTATTGATTTTCTCATTTCTGAAATCCATGCGTACGAAGTTCCAGACAAAAAGATAGTATATTATGTTATTATTCAATTTTATATAACAAATTACTATATTTTTTTAATAGTTTCACAATCTAACTATTAGAATAACGAGCTGTTTTCTGTGGTTTTGCCTACGTGCATCAGTATATAGTGTCTTGCATGTTTAGTTTGGATGTAACCTTCCTGTCTACTCGTACTAAATTTTAGTCAAATTAAAGATCCATTTAGGCGCGATCGAGTAACAAACATTCAAACTTATAATATTAGTAGCTTTAATAATAAATTCGTTAAATTATATTCAGCCATTTTCAATAATAGTAAATTTACAGGGGTATCCCCCTGACTAATGACAAAGTCGAAGTACACATTTTTTAATTTATTTCAATTTTAATGCAGTAACAATAAATATTTCTTGATAATATTTCTGTGGCCCTAAGATTATTATTGCTATCTTCTATACTGATGACTGTTGTTATTGCCTGTAGTTAATAGTAACTTGGTAAACATTTTTAATCAATCTAATTAGGTTGGCTGGTTGGGAATTTAAATCAACATGCGAAGTTTTTAGTGTGAGCCAGATTCGAAATCACTAGGCTCCGACGCGTCTCATTTACATCCAAATCGGTTCTAAACAAACAGATAGATTGATTCTAGCGGAGGGTTTTTGCTATGTACGAGTATATATACATTATTTTCACACCAAGTTGAAAGCTATTTGTAACTAAACTAAAAATTCAAATTAGTTAATTTATTAATTTATTGAATATTGTAATAAACACATTGAATTTATCTATTATAATTTTAAAATAGAAAATATTGAATAATTTTTACATCAAGTATTCTCATACAGTATATTTAGTAAGTTTTTAATTTTGAAAGAATTAATTTATTTATGCGGTCACACATGTTGCGTTTCAAATTATATTAGGGTTGTTACATATTATCACCGTAGTATTTTATTAGATGTTATTTTCTTACCTATTCTAATAATTAAGTACCGCGTTCATGATTCACTCTTCAACCCAAAGGTTTACTGGTAGAGAATACTATCAACATTATGCCCGCTTTTTGTACCTTATTTTATTTTGGTCAATAAAGTTATTTAAATTAAATTAATAAATAATTATGTATAAGGAAAGAAATTTAAAAATAGAACAGCACTCATATAGTACGGTGCATGGATATAGTGCATGAAAAAACGTGGTCAGTACATGTAAAGGCGAGCGTTGGTCGCTATGGCAGCATGTCGAATGCGTATCGTGCCACGCGGACCTCGCCGAAAAGAAAGGACTGTATACTTGTTAAATAATGACGATAGTTGCACGTTACCAAGTGAAATGCTCGTAGGGATGGAGTGTTCTGACGAGATGAGCACCTTGGTATTTAAGAGCGGGTCGGCATGGCGAATGTCATCAGTTAACACGAGCTCACTGTGGTAGGAACATCTCCAAAAGCGGGGTTGTTCTTAATCGTTGGATTTTACCTCGTAGCACTTAGGTCTCGAGCTAAGGAGTCGTTTCATCCACGCACAATATGCGCGCTTTCGTGGTAAGTTCCAGACGTGGATATAATCAATTATATTTGTAAATTATATCAATATTTGGCACATGCGATTTTAAAATAATCAATGTACTATTTAAATTTAAGTTTTTACAGGATTATTTATGTGAAATTTATAAGTGAAGTGTATTGTGAATTAATTGTGCGGATTTTAGTAGTGTGCCAAATAGTGGTATACTGCATTGTGATGTTAACTTTACGGGTAAAGTTGGTGATGTAATTTTTTAATTAATTTTAATTTCGGGATTAAATAAATCCTAGACTTCGATATTAACGGTATATACGCAAGTATATACCGTTAGTAGTTAAATAGTATATACGCAATACGTATACAACAATAGCGTGTAATATAAAAAAGTTTACAGATGATCTCAATATTAAAAGTATATCATTTTAAGATATGGTAACCGTATTAGGTTTTTTTTTATTTTTGTAGGTTTTATAGGTTTCATAATTTTCTTATATTTTTATTATTTTTATCCATTATTAAAGATCTAATATCTATTAGCGGGACACCGTCGATTGTTATTCACTGTGAGTGTGATTTACGTTTCACCGTGTTAGTTTACACGTATCGCGATTCTTTGATGTAATACACACTCAGTATTCCAAGTAACAGTGCAAATTATCAACGACCGAAATTACAAGTATCCCTTCTATTTCGTAATTCGTATTATTTCAACTTGTTTATGACTACCTCGTACCGCCTATAATTATTACGTCACGTCCGATTGTGTAGATACGATCTCTTTACTCTACTAAACTGACTTCGATGTTTGTTTCATTTATAGCAAATAAATGATACAATAAATATGCTCTTACTTGATTATGCTTAGCGAACTGATACCGCTACGCGTTTTATTACAACCATAACGTCTGCTGTGCTTATTGGTTTATACGTATGGTTATACTTATTTAAATGAATTATTTTTTCAGATAAATTTATTTTTTTCTATTACATGGTTTCATAAGATTGCTTGATCGTGACGTAAATCATTAATAATTTTAAGGACTTTGGACTAAATTTCTATCAAGATTTAATTTCAAATCAATTTTTAAAAAATTATACAAAAAAGCTGTTATACATTGTGTGTTCAATAGTTATTACACAAGTGTAAATAGCACCTTATCACGATTTATATCGAACATTCCATCGTGACGATTTATCGCGTGTTCTTCAATACGCACATGTCGCTATCATGCGACTGGGTGTATTTAGGTTCCACTGGACTAGTTTTATTCATCTAATTCTAATATTAGTTTTATAAACATACGTCTGTTTTCTTTACAGGTACTCGCCTGTGTGGCGTTAGCCTATGGTCGTCCCGAACCCCCAGTCGGCTACAGTTATTCTGCTCCCAGCACTAGATATTCTGCTCCTTCTGGCAGCTATGGAGCTCCATCAGCTGGTGGGCACAGAGTCCTTTCTGTCAGTGGACATTCCGGAGGAGGAATCTCTCTCGGTGGAGGACACTCTGGCGGAATCTCTCTTGGTGGCGGTCACTCTGGTGCCATTGGTCTAAGCTCTGGTGGATTCTCACATGGAGGAGGTAGCATTGGCGGCGGCAGCATCGGCGGTGGATTGAGCTTCGGCGGTGGCGATTCCGGTTTCGGCGGTGGATACGCTGGAGGCTACTCTGGAGCTCCTTTGGTCCAGAAACACATCTACGTACACGTTCCTCCACCAGAACCTACTGAACAGAGGATTCCTCGCATCCCTGCCGTTGCTCCTCCTCAGAAGCACTACAAGATCATCTTCATTAAGGCCCCAACTCCACCCACCCCAGTCGCGCCTATCATCCCTGTTCAGCCTCAAAACGAAGAGAAGACCCTCGTTTACGTATTAGTCAAGAAACCCGAGGAACAACCCGATATCGTCATCCCGACGCCAGCCCCTACTCAGCCCTCCAAACCAGAAGTTTACTTCATCAAATACCAGACTCAGAAGGAATCTGGTGGCGCTATTGGCGGTGGTGCTATTGGTGGTGGAGCCATTGGTGGTGGAGCCATCGGTGGTGGTGACCTCGGTGGCATTGCTCTTGGAGGCGGATCCGGCATCGGCGGCGGTGCTGGCGGTCATGGTGGAGATGACATTGGAGCTGACTTTGGCGCTAGTGCCGGTGACGATAGCGGATCTGACGGTGGTCATGGTGGCGCTACTAGCTCTCAGTATGGACCCCCCGGTCACGTGGCGGGACCCCTTCACTAAAAACAAGAATTTTAATAAATCATAGGTGGTAGGCTGTGGAATTATTGGTTTTTGCTGTGATGAATTGCCATTGTGTGTTGTGTTTCAATCTTAGCACATACAAAAAGACTTACCTGATTCCTGCCACCTAGGAGCTGTAACCGTGGCGAACGTCTTGTACATAGTCATCTGCCTTGTGTTCGCCAGTATGTTACAACAATATAGGGTAGTTCATGATCACAACATCATCTCTACTTGTTATTAGTGCACAGTGTTAAAAAGTTGTACGAAAGGAGGTAATTTACAGTGACTGTTACGTTATGTATTATAAATAATAGCTTTTTTTACTTTTATAATAAAAATAAAATGTGACGCTTATTCATGTGACGTTTATTTTAGTGGTACCTAATGGGAGACGGGTAGTTCGAATGTGTAATTGCATCATTTCCGAAAGTAGTCGTGAAAGGTTGTCGGAGGGCGCTGTCGGTGGCAATCTTTCGAGTCTCCTTTCTCAAACTCGACCGGTATGATTAGTTCAGATATAAAATCGAAATTGTGAACAATAATATTGGAACTGTGTAGTGTTGCGTAATGAGAAGGTAAAGCGCTTGTTTGTAGCGCTGCGACTCAGCGGGCTTGGCTACGGTGTGTCTTAGGCCGGTTTAGTGTGATCAGTTGTACTTGTACGTACTAGGGCAGGTTATATTCTCGCTTGTGCTCGCGTTAATGGCCACCTTAATGGATCATACGTGTTATTATACTTTCATATAATTTATTGGACGTCATAGCGGTTATATAAAACTATCTGCGTCTTCACACCGTCCTAGCATTAATTTATTGATTAGAATATCTAACGACGGTATGATTTCACTAATATAATTTGTTTGTTTAATTAATTTTTACCGACAAAGACTAGATATGTTTAGAGTTTGTCTACAAAAAATAAAACAGTAACTTTATAACGAAATGAATATGGGACCAGTATCGGGGTCAATCCTATTGATTTTAAAAAGACTTCTCGTAATTTGTATATACCTACATTTTTATTTCCAAGAAAAGCCCCTTATATTTTGTCCAATATTAAATATAAATATTCAGATTAATCGAGAATTAGAATGTTTGGAATTATTTTAATTCTGATATAATTAAGAACGAGATATTATACATAATAACATTTAATATCTTATAGTGACTATTTATAAGATTTGATTTCGAATTACAGATTTATAACTTTCACGAATTCAATACATTTTAATACACGGTATTTTAATGGGAGTCAGTCGCATTCTATTTATTAGAGAGGGAATGGTCTCAGACGAATTACGCAAATATGCATATTGACTGAATTATAATATTATTTACTTACTATAATTTACCCGCAAGTTTGTTCATGTGACCATAACAAGTTGACTGATTGGGATAAAAAATGTCCTATGTTCTTTTCCTTCCTCATATCCATTATTAATTCCAAATTCTATGTGCCCTTAGTTTCATAACGAATGTTTGAGGCTATTAAAGTATCAAGAGGTAAAACAAATTTTCGCATTTATGATATAGTTAGAATGCTCATAATAAATTACTTAAATAAGATGAAAATGGAATGGTAACGCTATCTGCCTGCACTACCTGTATACGCTGGTAGAGTACCAGAGCGAGGGATGACTGGTGAGATGAATTCAAGTCATTTGGCCTACAGTGACGAATTCACCAGGAATTCAATCTGGAAGTAGACCTCTCATGGTATAAGTAAGTATAATGTAAGTATAAATACCACAACCAAATATAAGCATTTGTTTGTGAAAGAAGAAAATGTTTGATGAATTAGTCTATTTATTATTTTGAAATGGTTGCTTTATTGAAAATAATTAAATGTCAAGGAATTTTATCATTTTTCAGTATAGATTTCGTTTATAAATACGGATAAAATAACGTTTTACAAGTAGTTCGCATGAAGAGTAACTTCCGTCTCTGCACGAGTTGGATATTAGAATGTGAAATAAGACATTTTTTGCATGATAGAATGATGGAGATTTCCATATAAGTACACACTTATTGCAAAATCAGGCAACCTTACATACTTTCTGTTTATTGAACAGTAAAAAACTCGTATAATAACTGAGTTGCGCCCACAAAAGAATATGAGTTGATAAGAAAAATAAATAATAAAGTTTATGAGGAACAAAACAAGATGAGCAAGGATTTAATCTTTACTAACTACAGTGACCCGAAGTTTGACGACGACACTGATTGCTAGCGATGCTATGGGTCGCCACTGCATGATATTGGATGATTTGTACATAATCTTTTATAATCGTATTTAAAGCGTTAGCCTCGTCCATTGTAAAAATAATTTGTTTCTTCATCAAAATAAAAAATAATTTAAAAGTTTGTCTGACTTCGATTATGGTCAAATAAATTATTATATTTTATAAACTAAACTACTAAACCGATTTTAATAAAATTTCTATGGTGGTTCCATATATAAAAGTATACTTATTCTGATAAAAGAATCTCAAATCGGTTTATAAATAACTAACGGAGTTATGAGGTAAAGAGAAGAAAGAATTCCAGAAGAAATCTCGAGTCGAAACTTGACACTCTTCGATAAAATTTACTTAGGGGGTTAAAGGAGACCAAGTAATCATTTGTTGTGTGTGTCCATAACTAATTAGCATGGCTATAATTCTATAAGGATTTGAATTGAGAACATGCCAATTATTGATTAAATTTCAACTCTGAATTTTAATATGTAATGTATGTAGGTGAAAAACAATAAGCTGTAATATTACAGATAATATTGTCTATTTGATATGAATGGGAAATTATTATCTATTCATGAGTCAAAATAAGTGAGTGAACTATGACTATAACTAGACTATTTTATAGAAATATTTTCTAATTAAATTAAGTAAGTGAAGTAAAATTCTTAACTACGCTAGAAGTTAGTGTGCATGGAAAGGAACACAATGTTGAACTTAACTTTATTCAACTTGTTGCGGTGACATGACGTTAAGTTTATTTACTTTATACAGTATCTTACGCTTGACACCCGGTGGGTTTTGGTGAAGAAAATTACTTTTGTTTTCAACCAGTTTACGAATAAATTTGAAATAATTAAAAAAGTACAACGCCAAAAACTATCTAGCGTATTGCATACACAGTTTGGCCAACTGTTGTGAAACCACGTGATATAAATTAATAAAAGTTTAGGAAATGTACAATTAAATATATCTCGGGAACATTGACGATCGTCGCGGCGGGGAGATGGGAGAGAGAAAGGATTATTAGGAATGGAGAGTAGTAACTCCATTGCTAGCACTGTACCTTATCAGGTCGACTTCTACGTGGTTTTACCTGGAAACCATCGTTATTAAATGTTGAATTCGTCACGATGGGCTAGCTGACCTGCTTACTTACTCATCTATCATTCTTCACTTGCGCCCCGTGTATACTGATATCGCAGGTGGGGCATTATTATTCAAAAGACTTCTATGGTACAGTGTTGGGCAAGTTATTTTGCGTAAATGAGGTCTTAAGTTCAATTCTTGCTCGTCTAGTTTGGGTAACGACTTTTTTAAATTGGCTGGGATCTGGGTATTCAGGGTTGCGTTATCAGAATTTCGTCGGCTGGTTTCTTATAACACAGGGTACCTAGCTTGAAGACCAGCTGACATGTGTGGTTGTGTGGCACTTATTAGATACTATATATGAACAATTTACTAGAAGACTTTAGAAACACCGATACAGGCCAATGAGTAGATATTGAAATGAAGAAAAGCAGGGAAAATTCTAATATTTTCTGTAATTATTCCTATACTTTCTAATACTATAAATATAAAAGTAAGTTTATTTGATTGTTACCTCATAGCGTCCCTAAGGGCTATAAGGTTAATGACTATATTTGGTATACACATACTACATGGGATGGAGAAAATGGAATAGGCTACTTTTTATCCTGGTTAGTAAACATATGCCGGTCTCGCGGGCAAAGTCGTGAGTAAAAGGGTAGTGTATTATGTTTTTTTTTTTGATGGGTAAACATGCTATGGTAACCCCGCCTGCGCTCACGGGATACGCCGGCGGAGCATCAGTGAAGGGTGATAGATGAGAATAAAAACAGGTCAGTTAGCCCATCATGATGAATTCATTAGGAATTAATCATGATAGTTTCCAGGGAGAAACGCGAGGAGGTCGACCTGGTTGGGTATATTGCTAGCAATGGGATTCTCAGTCTCCATTACTAACAATTCCTTTTCTCCCTAGTGTATTATGTTAGTCAGTTTGATTTGTTGTGGTAGGTAGTAATTAGAGATTTTTTAAGAGACATTTAGCTAAAAACTTTAATGTGATATAGTTATGATACCTACTTAATATAACCTACTTAATTATAAACAACCTCCACGAGACACAGCGGCGGCATCATTTATAATGGAGTAATTTCGGTAATAACAGTTAACGTAATACATATATATAACTATAAACATGTAATAAAGACAAATTTCCTGTAAGACATTTTATTACGTAATAATAATACAAAAATTTTAGAACGGAATTAAAATATAGTGTAAACATATTTTAAATTTGTCTATTGTACTTCCTTATTCTGTGAATAATCAGAATAAATACATTGTAAGTACTTGTTACCTAAATCCTACTTTTGGCCTTGTTGTACCCGCCAAGAAATTTCATACTGGATTGGCATTGTGCCGAAACACACTACCCGCCATGCGCCGTGCATTGTCTGCGGCTAGTGAAGCGACGCTCAATACATACGACGTACTGTTTACGTTGCGTGTACTAGAAATACTCAGGAGATCTACCATGAAATGAAATTTCTAATTTTTCGGACTTAATTCCATGTTTTTGTTCATACCGCAATCGGCCCATTTTTAGCATAGTTGCTTTAAGTTAGAGGTAGTGTGTCTTATTCTGGTAGCTGGCCTATTACATTTCGGCATCATGCATGTAAGATCTACAATATCGATGAGACCATTACAAATATTACACAGAAACATCATGTCTAATACAATTCGCTGATTTTCTAAACTCAGAATATTATGATATTTACAGGAATTATTAGTCTTAATTTGGTTGCTGTGAGCGTCAGTTGAGGTGTTTTATAAACCTATGCCGAATAATTTAGACCATAAAAGTTCAAGGAAAAGATATTTTATCATTTTTAATATTTTGAAACGGTATTATGTAATTATAACATAAAATTTTTGTTAAGTTCGGCTGCAAAATTCGGAAACCATTTCATGGTAGGCGCTCTAATCATTAACATTTCGTACTCGTATTCTTACGCCAGACGCTGTTTCTTTAGGGAACGCTTTTTAAGGATGTAGGAATAAATAAGAAGGATTTTTAGCGCGAAGTTCAG